GCTTTCCAGCAGGTCAGCCCACAGCCTGTAGTGGTGCATTTCTCCCCGCAGGACCCTTTCCTTAATCCTGTCATCTGTGGCTCTTTACTTTTCTTTGGCCTGAAGCAGTAAGGAGGAAAATCACTGTAAGAAGACAAATCTTTGGAGCATATTTCTGTAAAAAGGCAGGCTATGAATGGTGTATTCAGTTGGGGAAGTGGAAATGGGGATACAGTGGGAATAAACAGACATGAAAACTAGCTGACTGTGCATTACAGTATCAGGGGAAATTCAAAATGAACATGGCCCGGATGCTGGAGATGAACTTCTGTCTCTTCTGAGAAAAGGAAGGCTTGGGAGAAGGGACAAACATTGTAGCATGAAAAACAGAAACTCAATAGCCAGAGAAGCCTGTCAAATTATTTGTTTTAATGTCTCAAAATAGTAGCTTTTGAGCCCATTCTTTTAACCTCTATTTCACTGATAAGTTTTTGGAAGTCATCTTATTTTGTGTTTGCTACTTACTGATTAAACAGTTCTTTCCTCTACCATTTCAACTTTGTGAGACATTTCTGTTCAAAACTTTTATTCCTAAATATAACATGTATATTTTAACATGCAGTATACTGTTGAATCTCCTGAGTATATACAGATGCCTACTGAGTTTTAAAATGTGAGCTCTTATCCTGATACAGTAATGTTTTTTAAAACAAACAGAAAAGAAAAATTAAAGATTTTATCCTACTTCTTAAAGGAATAAAAGCAGACGCCAAAAACAGCCCATCAGCCACTGGTATTTGCCCAGAATAAAGTTAAATGTACGTACCACGTTGAACAAAATCTGTCTGAAGCCGCTGCTTCTATAAAGTAGTCCTGTATGATTTCTGCTACGTTAGCTTTTAGAACACTGCTAATTTCTATAATTTATATATACATATATATTTCTCTCCCAAGAAGCTGTCCTTCTCAGTCCAAACATATTTTAAAGGAAAAAAAAAAGAACTATTTCATGGTGAACAGAGTTTTTGGAAAAGATGTCTTTTCTGAAAACTATGTTCTATTTACATGCAGAACATAAATAGCAAACATGTAACAGAGTACACTTCTCCATGAACCAAAAATATCCTGATTCTACTCAGTCACAAGGGCCATTCCGAGGCTATATTTACACTTAGCATCTTTCAAGGCAGGTTTCTTTTCTGAGACTGTTATTTAAAGCAAATTATATTAATTGGTTTTACATAATAAATATTTATCTTACTGAATGGAATGAGTTCTACCACCAAGCCAGCTTTTTACACAAAATGCCAATCAGCTATTAGCAGGTAAGAACTTCTTGGTTGCAGTCAACTTGTACCGGATTATAACTTGTTATATTCACAGTAGCCAGCCAGCCTCGGCAAAGTAGGACTATTGACAGGGTCCTCTTATTATTCATCCTGACAAAATAATTAGAGGAAAATATTAGAAGCAAAGAAGGTCCCATTATCCAAATATTTTGTTCCAAGAGCCTTATGTTTTCTCTGGATGAAGAACAGAGGGTACTTTGGAGGCCCCTGCATGTAATATGAAGAGCTTTGAAATGCCTTTGCTACCAGAAGATGGAAGATTTATCAGAGTTATCCCTAAAGAGGTCAGGTAAATTACAACACACATTTGAAGGGGAGGGTGAAAACAGATGTATGGAAGACTATAGACGTGGCAAATAGGTGAAACTTGTTTGGCTCTCTCTGCTCCAAAACTGTGACCTTCCCAACCTGCTTGTAGCCTTGAGGCCAGGCAAGAGTTGCATTTTTTAGCATGGCAAAGCATGAAGATGGGGCACCAGCATAAAAGATAAGTGAAAAGGGATTAGTAGGCGGAGGGGAAGCCAGGCAGAGGGGAGAAGGCGTCTCTGCTCCAAAACTGTGACCTTCCCAACCTGCTTGTAGCCTTGAGGCCAGGCAAGAGTTGCATTTTTTAGCATGGCAAAGCATGAAGATGGGGCACCAGCATAAAAGATAAGTGAAAAGGGATTAGTAGGCGGAGGGGAAGCCAGGCAGAGGGGAGAAGTCGGCAGCGCAGCCCTGAGGCACAAGGAGACAGAAGCGAGGCGAGGGAAGGGAGGACGAGGGCGTGCAGGGCAGAGGCGGGGCCAGGGCGCGCAGACAGCAGCTGAAGAAAGCTGCTGGGGGA